TGGTACTGCCTGCTGTATGACGTGGTGGATGGCGGTGGGAAGCTGGTGGTCGAACGGGCCCTCCAGGGGCACGACCTTGCACTTCGCCGTCTCCACGTGCAGGGTCGCGTGCAGGGCCGCCAGGTCCATCGTGTCGGCGAGCTCTGGAGGCCGCGGAAGGAGCAAAGAAAGCCGCCAAAATCGTACGCGCACGCTCTGAACATGCCCGGCGTGGCCGTTTCCAGTATGGCCTCAATGAAGGCGATGATGGGGATGTTGGCGAGAGCGTGCAGTGTGCCAGAAAGCGCGCAACCCTGGATGATGCTGCGGGTGATGGTGAACAGAGGTACCAACATGCCATCAACTGTCGCGATCACTGTGACAAAGGAACACAGGCAACGAACCGCCGCCAGGAACGCCGAGGGCACTGCCAATTCCTCAAGCACAATCACGAGGAATTCTTGTGAGAGCGCGATCAAGAGATGATGTTGGTTATGGGCACCCGGCATGGGGCTGGTGATGCGGGCCTCTAGACGTTGTCGGTGAAGCGTCTGCCAGGTACGAAACCCATGTGCAGACGTGGCGCGGGCTTCACGAGCGGGCGGATGGCCGAGTTGGGCATCGCTGTGACGAGCTTCGCGTCAGTGTTGCTGATGCCGAGCGTGCGGACCTCGTTGGGGCCTCGGATGGCACCTCCATCGGGGTGGTCGTCGGCATGTGCTCCTTCGGGCAGAAATGGCGTGCTTCGTGTCCTCCGTGCAGCGCAGGAGATGCTCTCCGCTCATCAGCCAGAGCGCGGGTTCCCAAATAACTTCAGAGCAGAACGGGATGGGCGCCCAGGCGCGGTAGGGATGGCCGTCGATCCCTGGCGCTGAGTGGACTGCGGCCGTGTGGCGGACTGTCTTGGCCATGTCGCCAGAGTTGGGTGGGGGCAGATCCAAGCCGATGTGGGGGTCCAGGGGTTGGCGGATATAGCTGCGGCCCTCGTCAGGGTCGATAGCGATCTCGGCGAAGATCGGGGCCCAACGGCGTCTGGAGGCCTGTCGCTGGTCGTGTTGGTGTAGGTGTACTTGATCTGCTTCTTTGGCTCGACGCATCGCCATCCGCATGCCGAGTAGGACCCCCAGCTGGGCGCGTCTTTCGGCAGCAGCCATTCGGCCCTCATTTTTTTTTTTTTTTTTTTTTTTTTTTTTTTTTTTTTTCTCTCTCTCTCTCTCTCTCTCTCTCTCTGCGGGACTTGGTGGTCTCCGCCTGGATCACGGCAGTGCATTTAGTGGGCGCTCTCCGTCTATCCCTGGGACACCTCGGGGTGCGCGATGGTTGCGTCTCTGCCGACAACCGCTAAACACGAGGCAGCCTAAGCTAAGGAATCGGTGGTGCGCTGTGTGCGAGCCTGCAGTTGTTGCGCCAGACGCACTGGCTGCTTGACTGGCCAGAACGAGCTGGGAGGCCATGTCGTCGACCTCGCCGTGAGCGCCTTCTTCATGGCAAATGCCGCTGCCTCTGCCATCAGCTCTTCTAGCCGCGCGGCCTTGAGCGGCGGGGACTTCTCCACGAACGATCTTTCCTCGTACCTGGCTAGACCCTCCAGCGCCATGGCGTAGGCCGCCCTGCCATGTAGTTCGGCAAGGAAGCTCAACTCGGCAAGGGGCCGTGGAATTATGGGCCGGGAAACAATCTTGAGCACCGCGTGATCGGAGATGTTTCGGTCGTGGACTTGCCCGGGAGTCTTGAAGAAGGACCGCGCGGGAGTCGCCGCCCAGATTCGGTCCAGGCTGGGGGGGTTGCCCGTGTCCTTGCACACGTGGGTTGGGTCGTCCGCAGCAGGCTCGACAAGCTTGCCCAGAACTTGCTTCCAACGGGCGCTGTGGCACTTGCTGCGTTTGTGTTCTTGGCGCGGAAGCTGGCGAGCTGGTTGGCGCGGATCCAGGTGGGTGAAGGCTGCGAAGTTCATGTCGCCCGCGATGATGAGCCATCTCTTGCTCGGAACTGCTTGCGCCCGTGCCGCGTCGGTCGCCGGGGCCGTCATGGTGACCTTGATCTGGCGTAGGGAGATGCCATGGTTGTAGGCGTTGTAGTGGCGAGGCTCTGTGTCCGCTGTCTTGGCGATGACCTTCAGCGCGCGGCCTTTGGCATGCGCGAGTGTCCTTGCTGCGCTGGCGGCCGCGACCGAGAATGGCATGGCGGTGGCCGCGCCGCCCTTCTGGTGCCCGTCCGCGTGGTCGTAGAAGGAGCGGAAGACCTCAGTGTGCGGTGCGATCCCCCTCATGGGCACCTCTACTTGCTGCTTGCTCTGGTGGGCCTCCTGGGTCGCGACGAAGGTGCGCGGGAGGTCGCATTGCCGTAAATAGTCGGCCTTCTCGAGTGCCGTGCCGCCCCTCCAGCTAAGCAGTGCGCGAGCGTTCCATGTCGCGGCTGCTTTCCTTGGCTGTTGTCGGCGTGGCTTACCCCAGATATACCTCGTGTTGCAATTGAAGGAGTGTGTCAAAACAAACTCCACTCGGATTGCGCATCCGGGCAGGCGGCGCGGTGGACAAGGTCGCGAAGCCGCGTGCGCTTGCGACTCTTCTCC